AAAAAAAAAAAACAACAACAACAACATACACGTAACACGCCGGACCGTTGGATGGCAGGAATATCGACGGCGCATCGTCGCGCGCGGTTACGACATCTGTGGTGCTAGGGCTGCTGCTGGGCCTGGCAAAAGGGCGTTTTGTCCTTTCGAAGGCAGGAACAGCTGTCGTGCAAAGTCGCAAGCTTGTATAAGCATTCCAGAATCTTCGGGCCCGAGTGTTCTTTGCTGCAGGGCCTGGGGTCATAAGAGCTAATTTCTATGCTTGCGAATAGAATTTATAAGGGTAACTTTAGTTTTGGAGGGGCTTGGGGTTTAGGGTCAATCAAGTACTTCGCCAGCATCATGCGGGCAAAGGCCTCGGATTTGCAGCCCTCAAGAGTCGATTCTCTAAAGCTGGCGAAAGGGACGGCAATTTAAGGGTTGGCTTGATGTATGGTGCAATTATGAGCCAGAATGACGGGGGCCTTCTATATATCGTCAGGTCCTGCTAGTTGTAGAAGATGTTTAAAGAAGCCTTGTAGGGAAACCGTGTTAATGCAAAACAGCCCCAGCTGCCAGCCAGCTGCAGCAGATTCCAGAATCCTCCTTTGCCGTGATGCCCTCTAGAGGCAGCCCTTCACAACACACATCCGTTGCTGCCTGACTTGCACTTTGCTTCAGACCGAGCTCGTCTCTGCACAAAGCGCATATGAAACTTTAAGGTTATGAGATAGCAAAACAAACCCTACATAGGAGCTGCAAAAGTAAGGTACGCTATGACGGATCCTAGGTAGTAGGAGTCGTATCGCAATCCTAGCTTGAAGGAACAGGTACATGAGCCCCCAGGTGGCCATCAAGAATATCCGGAGGATCGAATCCCTCCAGGACCCGAAGCCCTGGCAGATATTCTCTCTGAAGTACCTCGGCAGAGAGATCCTTCGGGTGCTGTAGATTCTATTTGCGTCTTCACCGGGTTGTAGGTCAAATAGTCACAGGCGCAGTGTACTACAGCTCAATCGTGTCGAGGAACCAGTCTTGGCATCTTGGTGCCCTCGGGAGGTTCAGGGGCTAAAGTTTAAGGGTTCTGTGTTTCGGGTTCAGAGCTTCGGGGAGTTGCAGTGTGATTCAAGCCTCTAAGATTAGTTTCTGCACCGGGTGCACTATGTGTCTACAAACATATGCACACTTGAACCGACACGCAGAAAAGGTGAACAGGTCGCCTCAGTCAAGAATTTGTCTTTACGTGAGTTTGACATGCCATGCAATACACCCTCTTCTGTTTTGTTGGTGCCTTTGTATACTTGCTCACAGCATAGGGCTTCAAAACATGCGCCATGGGTGCCCGGGTGGGAGGGCATGGTTTGTGCAGAAACAGGGCGGGTTGACAACAGAGCGTGTGTCCACGTGTGCTTGCCTTGTCTGCGCGAATTACTTCACGTGTGTGTATATATACATATATAACATTTTCTGGATTAATGACATACATATATATATATATATTTTTTTTATTTATTTATTTATTTATATGTGTATGTGTGTGTGTTTGGTTTTTCACCTTGATTAGATAGCTGGCTTGCTCTCGAGTAAGGCAGGCTGAGTGTTCAGATTTTATGAGGGGTGCCCAAGCCTTCAGGGGATGGGCCTGGCAGCGTTGCAGTGCAAACTTCGTTTCCGAGTTTTGCAGTTGGGTCTTCTTCTGGGTTCACATGGAAAGTTGGTAACATGTACTGCTAGTTTAGTACCAGCCCGGCGTGAGGCACGCCAGGGAGCTTTTCCGATTTGCTTGAACTGCTGGAGGCCTATCCTGCAATGTGGGGCTAGAGACTTCTAGGACCCTCCTCACAAACCTGTGTGGAAGGCCTCGATACCCCCTCAACCCTAAACCCCTTTTAAACCCTAAGCCCTAAACGTTAACGACTCGTTGAACCAGTATCGCTACAGACCTTGCCAGGCTTGTCCGAGTGTGAGTGTCATAAACCCTAAACCCATGCCATAGAGCAAAGGTTCTACCCTTTGATGCTGGGCATGATGGGCCTCAGCGTGGCTTTGCGGAAGCTCTTCCGGAGACACGCAAATACGTAGCTCGTTGGGTCAGGGACGCTGATAGTAAGCCAATCAAGGTATTATTTGTGCAACTGCCATCTCTTTGAATCTGCATGCTTTTAGCTAGTGACTTAGTGTTTTAGCGGTCCTTGGTGTTCAGGTTTAGGTTTGGAACAGAAACTCGGCAAGTGCAGGTTTGGAATGCTACAAGAGATTACTTGGACCGGGCATGTGATGAACTAGAGTTGAGTTTAGCATGCGTCGCATTGATTTTGATTAGATCGTCGGACAAATCGAGCAGCCTCGCCTCGAGCTCCGCGTTGCGACCGCGGGTGCCTAAAGCCCCCTAAATCCCACACAAACCCTAAAACCCAACATCCTAGACCCAACAACCCAAAGTCTTGCATCTTCAACCCCACTTGAGACCCTAAAAAAAAACAACTAAAAATCGACTCCAGGAGCGGCTTTGCCGGTGGAATGGTCACCTATGGAGGCCTCGTCTCGGGCATCGGCACCACGCTTTTTGTGAGCGCCTTTGCCTACTGGTTTGAAGATGCCTTCGGCGTGAAGGCTAAGAAGTCTGAGCCCACTGCCAAGTAGGGATAGTTTACGCTGGAGGGATATGGGGAGTTCGATCCAGAACGATAAGAAAACATATGTCTTTGTTGTGTTCCTGTCTTTGTTCACTCTGGCAGTTCAGCGGATGTAGAGACCCATCAGAAAAAACTTTGTTTCCATAATATGAGTTTATGATATTATGAGTAGAATGGATTTGCTGCAAAAGGTCGCAAGGTAGGATGATGTGGTCTAGGGCATGTGAGTACCAAGAGGAACGGGACTCTCAGACCATTGTACAGCAAGAGAGGGACCGAGGAGCAAGCCTGAAAGATGCGCAACTCCTTGCGGGCTCTCGTGTTTCAGAGTTAATCTTGTCTCACGCTTGATTGGGGGTCGGGGACGTGCTAGAGCTATAGAGGCAGCAGCTTGTGGCCCTGGTCTCGGAGGGCACATGCCCAAGCAGGTTTTGTACAGCCTGGATGCCTCGCATGCCAGCACTTGGAGCATGTTGCAGCGAGTGCGAAAGTGCTGCACAAGTCAAGGCCTTGTGGAAAGCGTGCTGTCCCCATCAGTGCCGCAACACTGCATGAACTGCCCTTACCCTCGGCATCCGCTGACGGGAACTCCAACGACATGGAGCTGTTGTACATGGAGGTTGCAAGAAACGGAATAGTGGGGGCTGAACTTAAATGTCCCCTTGTTCAACGCTTGCCGAAGAGTCTACATAAGCGGGAGAACATCCGGTATTCCTACTACTTCTCATGGATTGTATAAGGCTCGGCTGCACATGTCATACGCGATCCAGGATTCAGGCTTCAAGGTTTTGGGTCTGGCTGCTTTTCTGTGGGTTACCCTCAGGTCGTAGACATTTAGATAGCGTGGTCTTGCTCGAGTTGAAATTTTTCTTACGCTGCCACAACGGAGATCGAAGCCAAAACTATTAATCTGGCCGTAGTAACACCGTCAGACGGCAATACACCATTAAGGCGGTGACGTCAGGGCCAGGGCTGCCACGCAGGGCCCTTCCTGCTGTAAATAAATAATGATCGCACAACAGGCTCGGCCCGCTGCCTGAGAAAAACAAGTTGAATAAATTGAGGCAAAGGCATTCGAGCAGGAACTTGCTTTTTGTTCAAGCTTCCTAGACCTTACTTGGTGTAGGAACTTCGTTTGGATCAGTCTTGCACGCCAGACTCTGATGCTGGCTTTGTGCTCTCTTAAGCAGACGCAAGTCAGCTGTCGCTTGCGGTGCCTGTTGTGGCTTAGACCCTCTTCTACACAACCCTGATTTCACTTCTCAGATCTCTCTCTTTATCTCTGTATATATATATATATACATACATCTATGTGCGCATTGGGAAGCCGAGGAAGGCGCAGAGCTCCACCCTGGAGGCCGTGGCCGTCCAAAAGGAATGTTTGGCCACACCATGAGAGTGAAGTGGGCAGTTTCGTGCAAGTAAAGATTTGCATTGAGATCTAAAGTCAGTTGGTCCGATGGTTGTGCCGCCACTGCTACCCGTTATTGCCCTGGCATGTTATCACTGTTTAGCCTGCTTGATGGGTTGGTTTTAAAATATAGAATGTACCATAACAGACTATAAGATAAATTACTATAACATACAAAAATAGACTATAACATGTTGTATCTATTAAGATATGATGACCGTGGCATGCATTTGGATCTCGAGGGAACGGGCATTTGCCCTGGCTTCGTGAGGCCGAGGTCCCACGCAAAACACTAGTAGTAGTAGTAGTAGTAGTAGAAGAAGAAGAAGCAGTAGCAGTAGCAGCAGCAGCAGCAGCAGCAGTAGTAGTAGTACTAGCCGATTAGGAATATTAGCGTTGTTATTACATCAAGCTGCCTATTCAACAGACCTTTGACTGGGCCAGTCGGCGAAGCGGCTATTTGCCAGTGGCCTGTGGCCAAGCCGCAGTGATTTCGGATCTTACTAAGGCTACTCATCTGGTCAGTCAGGATTCGATTTCTGCCTTGGGAAGCTTCGAGTTGTTCACTTTGCTCAGTGTCTTTGGCCTTAGAGTTGAGGATTCAGGATCTAGGGTTTTGCTTTCAGACACAACTTGTGTTTACGTCTTCTAAGGGAGCGCCCTCCCCCAGCTTCCCTTCTACTCCCTTATGTATTCACGACCCTGCAGAAACCGCATCTTCGGAGATCATCGCTCAGAGTTCTCGCAGAGGCTTTCGGGTGAGGTATTTTGGGGTTGGGGTCTCGGGTTCTGGTTTAAGGTTTGTACGATTTTGGAGAATCTAAGCGCTTCAACACCCACACTACCCAGCTTGTTGCCATGAATTGCATTTTGCTCTGCCTTCATTGGGCCCAGAGGCCTGCCATGCTCGGTAAGAACTTTCTTCAGCCGGGTCGATCTGTCAAACGAGGCATGCGTAAGTACGTGTGTGTTTGTGTGTGTGTGTGTTTGTTTGTTTGTTTGTCTCTCTCTCTCTCTCTCTCTCTGTGTGTGCGTATGTGTATATATATATATGTATATGTATATATATATATACATATACATGCATACGACGATGCGTATATTATAGTCGGTTTTGTCTCAAGTAGTCCTATGACATATACATACTAGATGCATGCGTGCATGCATACATACATACACGACGCATACGGGAGCCTCTCAGGCGAAGTGTCCTCCGCACAGCAGCTGCGTCAATGAGCATAGACGGCGAGAGGGCCAGGGTTACGGCAAGGTTGATCATGAAGGACAATTTGAGATCACTTCTCGGGTGCATGTGTTTGGTTGGCAGCTGGTCGTGGCATATTCCACCCCACCAAACCTTCTTGGCGTTTCCCCACTGAGAGGCTGAACGTTGAGTTTGTCTTCTGTCCTGCAACGATCCTGGATCGCTTCTGTCCCTACGCCAGCCTAGCCTTCCTACAAATTGGGTCCGAGCATGGTTGTGATGATCATGGAGGACATTCATTACGATGACATTGACCGCTTGTTGAAGATGGAAGTCGGGCAGCCGCCTATAGGTATTCCACGTAACAAGCCTAGCTCTTTTTGTAGCCACTTTTTGATCCTCAAATTTGAGCAAGACAAACTCCGCGAGAGTTGCCCAGGGACATGATTCCCCATATTCCCCAAACCCTCAACCTTAAGCCCTGAAAATCAGCGGGTGGGAAGAGCCCTGTAAACACAGCAGATTGGGAGGACCTGCTCAGTCACTCCGCCTCCCTCAGCCAGGCAACACTATTCTTTTCCTGCAAGGGGATCTGAACAGCCGCACCCGGGCAAGAACTCTTCCGAAGCCTCTCTGCCCAAGGTTGTCAGACCTGCCCCAGGGCTTGGTTGGGTTCAGGGTATGTAGGGTTTAAGGCTGGGGTCTCAAGGCAATGCAAGAGGGAGACGCAGCGAAGCAATTTTGTGTGTAGCCCGAAAACCGCCAAGTTCTGGGCAAGACATGCCGCACCAGAAGGCTGGGCTAATTGCACGGCAGACTTCTACGTTGCACCAATCTGCATCAGAAGCCTGGCAGCCCAGGCACCCTTCTGGAGGGTACTCGATGCAAGGACCTCTTGCTCGAGGCTGGGGTTCTTGCAGGCTAATCTCCTTTCGAGCTGAGAGGTTTAGCAGTCAAGCTGTGAACTTAGGTGCTTGTTCTTGCAACTCGCTAAGACGAGTACTGTAAGCAGCGTCTTGATCCACTGCCTCGCGCAGCTTGCTATAGGTTCGCAGGTCTTGCAAGCCCGTCAGCAACTAGGACTAGGACAGACCAGACTATTCCAGATTTGCTGCCTTCTCGTTTGCACACGAACAAGTGTCACTCGGGACTTCCGGGTAGAGCTAGAGAGAGAGAGCGAGAGCGAGAGAACGACATACATAAACCTACATGCAGACACACACATACACACATGCATGCATGCATTCATGCATGCATACATACATACATACATGAAAACGGACATACATGCACATGTATCTTTCACAGGTACCTATTTATCTGCATGAGCGTGTTGTGGGTGATCGTGTGTGGGTTCGCACTCCATTTCGCATGCTGGACTATAGTCCGACGGCCTTGATACAGCACAGATCCGGATGCATTACGCGGAACGCATGGCCACGAACGCTCAACCAGTAGCCTCAATGCCACAACGAGGTGCTGAAGGACCGCCCCTTGCAACGAGCCATCCAGCGCGCCCTGGCACTGGGGTGTAGAAGAAAGGTATTGGGCTCGGTGATTTTCAGCACATGTTTTCCAGGTTTATAAGAACATCGATGGATTGGATGCGTGCAGAGCTTCGGGTCTCGTCTAGTCTGATTCCTGAGTTCTGACCAGGATGGCCATGCTGGATCCATCTTATGTTGAATCTGAAGCAATGGCCAAGGTCCAAGGTTTTCGTTGCATCCTCTTCCCGTCATTCGGATTGTAGAAAGGGTCAAACGAAGATGACCGCCAGCTTGTCATCGGCAGAAGGGCACTTAGCTGTACCGCCCCGGGGCAGCCTAAACCCTGATGCCAAACTAGACCCCTTGAAGCTTGAACCTGAAGCCTGAAAGCTTCTTATACCATCCATTAGCCTCCGTAGAGGTCAGGGCTCCACACGTGGCTTTAGCAAGCGTACGGTCGTGGAGACTTGTAAAGGTAAGACCCCTTGCAGCATACTGTCGTACGGAGTTGGTCTGGGATCGTTCAAGGTCCTGCAGTTGGGTTAGGGTTTAGGGGTCCGGGGTTGGTAATTCTGGAAACTGGGGACGATGACCCGGAGAAGCGAAAGAACCGAAACCTGTGCCCTGGTTCAAACCATAGGCAAGCCGCATGACCGTCTCTAGAACGCCACCTTGTTCAGACCCTTCCTCTTGCCTCATGACTTTACGATATGTCAACAGGATTTAGCAGTTTAGCTTCTGGGTTCGGTTTTCAGGATCTGGCAGTTGTTGCTATCTATACCATGCTATGCTATATTCTATTCTACTATACTATACTATACTATACAATACAAACGTTTAAACCATACCATACTAGACTATACTATATCGGTATACCCCTTACTGAGCCGACAACTTACCCCAAA